AAAAAAAAAAAAAAAAAAAAAAAAGGAATCTTGGACTCCTCCTGAATGTCATTCCCTGCTTGGATTGCATCAGCAAGAATACCCCAAAAGGGTGAATGTATAAAAGTTGGGACATAGCATGTTGTACATGAGGACATGATGTAGGCATGCTGGGGTATTTCTGGTAAATTCCTTCGTATTTGTTATTTACTCTTTTAATTATTCTTAGGTAACAGCTTTAAGTTGAAATTTGGGCATAATTGTAATTACATTCCAATAACTCAAAGATTAAGTATATAGGCTAAGGTCCCCTTGTGTACGCCTCTTTTCCCTTCTGAATCAGATCCACTTCTCTGAATATGACTCCAATTACTTTCTTGCATCACTTTCTAGCCAAATCTGTAGTATTTCGTCACATTCTTCCTTCTACTGCTATTATCTTAAATTTTGTGTGGAGTTTTTCCTTTTATTCTTGGTTGGGTAAGCCTCTCTAAAAACTTTTCATTCCCGTCAATCGTACTTATTGCAAGTCCAAATTAGACTGTTGTTCTTTCCTATTAATTTACAGAGTACATGTCCCTTTTATAAGGAAGAACGACTAACTAAATATAAATAATAAATTCCTATATACTAGGTAATCTATATAAATCCAACAAGATAACTTAGGGAGGTCAACTACTTCCCTTACTTCTGCTGCCAATTTGATGGGAGGAGATTCTGAATTGAGCATTGCAGCTCATAGGTTTTCTTTTTCCAGGACTTTTGATCACTGAGATAAATCTTCCAATGGAAGGAACTTATGTTAGTTTTCAAGCACTATGGCCAGCATATTTCTTGTTGCAATTGCTTAGTCTTGCAAAACTCTTGGGCTCCCAGATAACTTGCACTTCTTGTGAAATATTCATAAAAATAACTCTGATTTTTCAGGTAAGCTTTTCACCAGCAAAGCCTGCACTTGATAATTTGGAGATACTGTAAAGGGGCCAGGCCACCAGACTGGAGGCATACCGATTATCCAAAATTCGATGCTTCTAACTTACAACATCCTTCCCATCATTAAAAAAAAAAAAAAAAAAAAGAACAACTTTCAACATCCTTGTAGCAGATGGCATGCGGGTAGGGAGAAAGGGGAATGCTCAGGCTCTTTTGAAATCCTTCACAAATATGTTTTTTATGAGAGATCTTTAAACATGGAATTTACTGTGGTTGAGATGAGCCAAATCTCCTTGGGTGTTTTAGATTTCGAAAAGTACCAAGAGCTGGAAAATGATAGATTCCAACCCTCTATCAAAGAAAACCAGAAGGATTAACAAGAAAAGTTGGTACTAACTTCTCGCTTATGTGAATCTGAAATACCCTCACAGAGACATCCACAAGTTTGTTGACGACTCCTACCATTTCTACACCGTTATTGGTCTCTTGAAAGTTAAGATTCTGGCAGGCATTAACTTGGTCCCAAACCTTGAGAACAGTTCAGTTACGGCTATTAAGGCCAGATACCTAACCTAGTAAAAAGCAGTTTGAAAGTGCCAATTAATATCAACCTAAGGTCTTCTCAAAATGTACTTCTTTTCCATGTCCAGTCTTAAACGTGGATTTCTTGACCCAAGTATCTCATAACTAGAAATAAGGAACCAAGAGGCCCTATACTGTAAAGACTGCCGAATATTTCAATCCAGTCAACCTAGCAACTTTAATTTTAATGGCCTTATATGAAAAGCTTCTTCTTCCTTATTGAAACTCCATGAATATTTCATTACAAAGGCCATGTTTTTCTTTATTATATTTCTAATTCCAATACCTCTTTCTAAGTTGATAATAATTTACCCACTTAAGAAACAATTTTCTTCTCCACGTAATGAGAATTGAAGCATGTTTTGAAGGAACCTCAAAATAGAGATGGGTAAAAGTAAAACACTAACAGCCCACATGAGCATTCATTTTTCAATCTCTTTATGTATCAGTGAAAAGTTCGTTACTTGTTAAGTAAAAATGAAAATTAAAAAAATTAAAAAAATTAAAAAAAAAAACATATGAGCATAACTTAGTCGTTAAGGCATCTCTACGTCTTCTATGAGATCGTACGTTTAAATTATTGCCTCATATTTATGATGTGATATATTCTTTGAAAACCCAAAACTAAGAATGTCAATATATATATATATATATATTTATATATATAACTAGGAGTGGAGCTTTGCTCCACATAAGAATCAATATAATATCAATAACCATTGTTTCGACAAGTATAACTATCCTTCTATTGGTAGGATGCCTTTCCTAAAATTTATAACCAAGTGTCAGGACCACAATACTAACAGTACAGAGTATTCTACTGCCTGAGGGGAGGCCACGATAGTTTTGGCTAAAATTTGATAGCACAAGAAAAGTAGGATTAAGAAAATGTCAATTAATAATGATTGTAAACCCTTTCCAAATCAAATGTAAAGGCCAAAACCTCCAAGCTTCCAATGTGTCCTATCTTCCATAACGTCATTAATTAAAAGTTCAGGATTTCTCCTTATTTTCAAGCCTCACTGAAGCAAGATACTTTCTGATATTAGGCTTTTAATGAAGCCTTTGTTCCTCTGACCTAGGAAGGAGTTCTCATCCCTCAATTTATGCCTTTGTAACCCTTTTGCGTCCAATTATTTCATTGCAGCCAGATTTCCTCTGAGAATCATCAAGACTAATGGATTTATCGAGCTCATGAGTCTTCAATCTCCTTCATAAAATTATGTCTTAAGCCGCCGCAGAAATTGTCTTAGTCCCCAGAACCGAGGGGCAACAGCTAGAGAAAGACTGTAAGAGCCAGATAATAATCCAACAACATACTACATCCCAGAATGGAATAGTTTGTCTCACAAAATCAGGAAATCTCTGGAAGCTCCAACAAAATCAAGAACATCCCAACCATGTGTTTTGATCTTCACAAGTGTTTGACCACAAAACCATCAACAACAAAAGTTTAGATTCTTAGAAGATAATCACAGCCAGATTAGTTCCTAAGTTAGTATCGTTCCATCCTAAGTTTTAATTAGCCTCTTAACATACCATCAAAAACTGTGATAACTTTTTGGCCTTTTCAAGGTAAAGAGAGTTTTCACCGCATTGCAATGAAGAGAAAAGAGGGTACTTTTAAGTTAATCATCTTCCTATTCTTAAAAGAATGAAAAAACAATCAAAGCCAGATAAACAAAAAGTATAGGCTAGCATAGCATCCACCGAACCAGAAAGGAGACCTCAATAGACAAAAACAAGTGATTGCGATCCAAAGGGTTTAGGATTTTAATTGATAACAATCCATTAAACCCATGACTATGGCTTGGGAGGCAAGATTCGAATTTAAGTATAGGCTAGTATAGCAACCACTTCCTGGAGGCTCAGAAGATTAGAATCATGCCCTTCAATACCTCCTGACATATTGTAAAATCTCATCAGAATCTAGCTCTGGAGGAACCTCTGAAAAGAACTAAAAACAATTAGCCACTGGTACCATGGTCTCATAGATTAGAGTGGCACACTGAACTCCATGAGCCTTCCTAGTGGCACTTCGGAGCTAGATGATGAAACTATTTGATCTACAGCTTTAATGAAAGAGGGTGGGGGGGATTCGCATGCAAGTTTTCTTACTTTAATCAGCGCTTCATTTAATTCCAACTCCAGCCTTTTTGCCTCTTTGCAAATCCACCACAGGAATTACAAAGTTATTGGATTCCATTAGTCAATTGGATCCTAAATTGTTTCCAACCTCTGATGATCCTTTTGGTATATTATGTTGTTATACCTGTCACTAAAATCATGAGAAAGCACAATCTTCGAGCCTAAGCAGGAGACTATTTAATCTAACTCCTTTTTGCAGGGAGGGGGATAAAAAATTTATAAGCACCAAAAAATGAACACTCTGACATTGATCTAACCCAGATTGATTGAAAGATTCATTAGATGAAGAAAAAACATTGCTAGATTTGAAAGGAGAAGGGAAATTACAAAAACAAGATTCAATATGGTGTTAATGGTTTAAATATCATAAGAAATACAGAAACAAACAAAGAATCAAAGCCAACCTTATTTTATAGGTATGATAATAGATAGCGGGTCAAGAAAACCACTGCTACGGTTTGCAACATTATTGATATTGTTTCATACTTACCGGATGAAAACGTATACACAGTTGTGAAGATACTCCATAGATTACTCTAATGCAAATTCCCCTTGATATCTCCCATACTCTAACGGTCTTATCCATGGACGATGATGCAATGTACTGATTATTCGATGAAAAATCAAAGTCTGAAAAAACACCAGTATGTTAGAATTTTACTTTCGGAAGTGGACAATAAGAGACAAATTTAATATCAAATCTGATGCTTGTAATGAAAAAAATTCTTGAAGCTATTTTTGATAACTAGGTGTTTAGGTTTTCTTTCTTGGGTAAGAAACTAAGCTTTGATTAATTGTAAATGAAGGACTGTAAGAGAGTACAAGTGCATGCACAAAAAAGAAAAAAAAAAGAAGCTTGTAAAAGAAATCCAACAACTAACCACATGAAAGAATTCCAATCCAAAAGAAGAAACGGCCGCATATAATGGTTTCTTTTTGGTGTAGATTAATGTATCCTTTTCAAATGTCCCAGGGGTATTGAAAGAGTTTTCATTTACTCTTTAATTCCACGGCTAGTCTCAGCTGGTTTTCCAACTTCATCTATCTGAATTTATTTTTCCAATGCCAAATAGGTAAATATTTTAATCCTAATCTGAGAGTTTTCAACGTCTTAAAATTCTCCATCATAAATAGTTTCATCATCAAGAAAATTAAGAAATACCACGGCTTAAATAGCATATAACTTAGAGTCAACATACGATAGTGTTTCTTAATTTTCTTATAGTCATATAATGTTATTTTCTTCAATTCTTGAAACCGTTTTCAAATGTATTTCCTCGCACAAGTTTTCTAAACCTTTTCTCGCAACGTGACTCGAGGCCCGAACATATGCCGACGTTGTTTGCAACGTCTGAATTTCTCACGGCTGACTTATTCACTTGGTTAGAACAAGTGCCTCACGATCGCTATCCCACTATTGTAAGAGTGCGATTGTGATAAGTGCTCAATCTTTTTTTTTTCCCACAATCTCCACTGTCAACTCTTTGCATACCATGTGTAATAAAGACAAATATGCCCAGAAACATCCATCGAGACACCAAAAACACTTCAGCAAATCTTTAGGGACCTACGCATATAAGTACCCACAATTAGGCAGTCCAGTTGAAGATTAATGCAATGGGAGGTGCTTGGTGCCACAATGGCGTCGTGATCTTAACACACTCATGACAAGCCTTGAGGGGAACCCAAGCCCCATGTTCATTTTTTGCCTGACTTTGTGGCATCGTCGGACATTAGGTGATGTCTGTTTTCACCAACCGAACATCACTTGTGTAGAATCCAAGTTTGTTCAGCCACACAAGCCGCCTGCGTGCACATGTTCAATTGTCTGCGATAGAACCGATTTGCCTCTACACTATGCCAAGTCATTTGGCTCGACCTTACCTCTACTCAGGGCCAAGGTCTCTCAATGCAACGTCACATCCTATCATCTCATCTTGGTTCCTAATTAACATGGCCCATATACCTTCACGTCATCATAAGTCATGGGGAGTCGTTGGTCATTGCAGCTCTCTCAGTCATGCCATCAAGAACAAGCCCACGTGTCGTTCATAACATCGGGACATCTCGAATCTCCATCCATTCAGATTCTATCAAGACATTGGCCCTCCCATGCCCATGCCATGTCATTTACGGATTCCATACCCAATAGCAGGTGCATAATCCGACCTTCGACACATGGGGAAGTCACCCGAGACACTCGTCTCGGAATGCTCGCTCTCATTGTGGCACACGCATGTGCCACATGATAGCTCGCTTAGGCCACAAGGCCCATGGGTGGTGGAGTGCAGACACCATGCCTCCTTCTAAGGTACAATTTGAGGCATTTACAAACTGGTGGGTGTAGACATGATTTTGGCGAACAGACATACGGTGCCGTGGAGTGTCTGTCCGATGTCCGATTGGCACAAAATTTAGCGAGCTTTCATATTTCATATGGGCAGACTTGACTCAAGAACTAAATGCCCAAATTTCCTTAAGAACCCTAACTTTCAAGGTTAAGGCTCGAGGCCCTATCCGGCCCTTTAACAAGCTTATCTTTGACACTCTTGTCAACCCGTTGCCCTTATCTTGCTTATGTCTCATCTTCTCTTCAATGTCCACTCGATGTGGTGTGTTAGATGATGTACCGTCCTCCTCGATCGCATCATGGCACTTGTCTAGACCCTCGCGTGGCCGAATGGGCACCACTTGAGGGTCGCCACTTCTCTTGTCGCAACGTGAAGGTCACAACCTACTTTCTTCATAGTAAGGTTCTGATATTCTCCCCCACTTAAACTAGTTATCGTCCTCGATGATTTAGCATTGGCCCTCCCATGCCCATGCCATGTCATTTACGGACTCTGGTGCATAATCCAACATCTGACACATGGGCTAGGGCGCAATACCGACACACCCATGCCACCCGGTACTGCCCTTGAAAAATTCATTTCAAAGAAAGTCACTCGAGACACTCGTCCCGGAACACTCGCCCTCACTATGACACATGCATATGCCACATGGTAGCTCACTTAGGCCACAGGGTCCAAGGGTGGTAGAGAGCTGACACCATGCCTCCCCCAATGTACATTTTGAGGCATTTTCAAACTAGCGAGTGTGGACATGATTTGGCAAATGGACATACAGTGTTGTGAAACATCCGTCTGGTGTCCAATTGACACCAAATTTGGCATGCTTTCATATTTCATATGGACAGACTTGACTCCAAAATTGCATGCCCAAATTCTCTTCGGAATCCCAACTTTTGAGGTTAAGGTCTGAGGCCCTACCCGGCCCTTTAACAAGCCTATCTTTGACACTCTTGTCTACTTGTTCCCCTTATCTTGCTTATGTCTCGTCTTCTCTTCAATGTCTACTCTATGTGGTGTGCTAGATGATGTATTGTTCTCCTCAGTTGTATCATGGCACTCGTCTAGGCCCTCGCGTGGCCGGATGGGCGCCACTTGAGGGTCTCCACTTCTCTTATCGCAACGTGAAGATCACAACCTACTCTCTTCATAGTAAGGTTGTGACACTTTGCATATTTCTTTTTATGGTTGGCTTTTGCAAATTTCAACCTTCAACCACCTTTAACTTACCCACCTCTCAAATCAATGAAATTCATTTCTACATCGACTCAACATTATGTGCATGTCTGCTGCACACACATGAGAGAGAGAGAGAGAGTACTTATTACTACAACATGCAAGTTCAGGGAAAATCCATAAGGAATGAGATTCATCAAAATCATTGAGGCATGAAAATTCACACACGTAAACAAAGGCATGAATAACAATAAAACATAACCATCCCCGGACGCTTACATCTAAACATTAATTTTATAAGAAATGAGCCTTCATCAGATGAATGAGAGTAAACAAGAAGGGCCTACAAATAATAATGATACAAGCAGAGAAGCAAACCAAAAGAGATGAAACCCAGAGAAGGAATTTGGAGAGAAAACCAACAGAACTCTACTCATACTAGCTTTTAACAATCCTTGAAGTTGTGATTGGGAGAAGAGACAGTGTAAAAGACAACAAAGCAGTACCGGCCAATCCAACCTGTTAAGTCTTTTGAATGGCCCAGCAAATGCTTGACGGTTGAAGATGGTTCAGAGACATTGCATACAGTCAAGGACCCATCCGCTGCACCATATGCTAATAGATCAGAGCTCATGTGCCCAAACTTCAAAACCGTAACTGCAAAATTGACAATTAGACTCCTTATGTAAACAACTTTATTCTGCGTTGATAAGAAATTTGAAATAATCACATGATCGGTTCAGATTTGTTCTTCAATGAAAGTTTACCAGCAACTTTGCATTGATCAAATATACAATGCATTCCGACAAAAGAATATGCAAATTCAGTTCTACGAGTATGTAGCTGACTGTTATCACTTGCATTTGAGCTAAAACTTGATCTTCGTTGACTCTGTAAGTCCTGAGTGAAAGAAAAAAATAAATTATAGTTATGATGAAGCAAAAGCACAATGCATGGAGTTGCATTCAGATTTAAACTTACCGTGGTTCTTGCTACGCTTAAAGAAGCAAATTTGATTTAATTATTTAAATCATTGAAAACTCTACATGGGCTATAAACAACAACTGCTACATGAAAAAACCTGAGGACCAGAAATTCGCTTTTGAAATAACCATTCATCTAAAAGCAGCCTAACTCAAAATTTTTGAAATAACAAACTCTCTTGCATGCGCCTTCACATGAATATTTATTTCAACCTTTTCATCTCTCCTATTTTATAATTTTTATCTGATTTTTATCTCTTTTTTTTTAAGAAACCAACTTTTATTAAGATAGATAAAAGTACAAACAATAAAGGCATGAGGAAACAAAATCTAACAAAATACAAGGGAAAAAATATTAATTACAAAAAGATGAACCAGTTGCCTTTATTTTGCGTTTGGGGG